AGAATGAGGTGTGCCTGTGTTGGAATTCAACACACACTGGAATGGAATGGCTGCCATAGATGCTGATTTAAGAATAGATGGATGGATAGATAGATAATTAATATAAGTAAAATGACATTATTTAATGAATGAATTTCTAAGTAATTGTTAGTTGTGACTGTACTAAAAAAATAACCCTATTTCTAAACCAAAATAATAATGATAATAATAATAAAATGAACATTTAAGAACAGATATTTTAATTTGAATAAAAAAATGGAAATTAACATTTTACATAATCTTATGTAGTATCATCTAACAACCACAGATGCACATAACATATTAATGTAATCATTGTAATATAATATTATTACCATTATTGAACTGTACTGTATATGAATTCTCAGCTATCAGTCTTTGTTAACTCAAGCCTGCAGTTACTGAAATATTCATATTTAATATCTTGCTTGTTAAGTCAAAAGGCTACATTCTATCAGCCAGTCAGTCACATTTCATCATCAGTCTGTTAAATTGAATTTAAAAAAAAAACACGTGAAGCAAACCGCTCCACTGAATGGTTCAGTCCTCTGGGCAAATAGTCAAATTATGTTCAATACAGTATCTCACTGAAATAATGAATTGTAAGTAAGGGCACACCTGTTTAGAGTATGTGCTTAAATAAAGTAAACTGTAACATACTATTAAACATGTCTAATATTTAAATATTAAGGTAAAAATCATACTTTAAACAGATGACACAGATAGACAGACAGATAGACAGATAAATAGATAGAAATCTAGAACTAGTAAATGTAAGTAATAATAAAATACATCAACTTATGTTGACAGATTTATGCATATATTCAGAGTCAGTAAATGTATAAGTGAGTGGCATTCGACAGCCTCACAACTTCACAAAGACAAATGATCCTGACGGCGCCTAAAAAATACACAAATTATTACAATTATTTGAAAGAGTTAATAGTGAATGTCCTGTTGACATTTAGCTGATATCTGACACGAATAACTCTGTGCTTATACTGATCAGGTTCAGTATAAGCACACTGTTTTTGTTTTTTGTTTTTTTTTCACCACATTATCTAATGTGGTGGATGTTTTTTTTGTTTTTAAATCAAGTTCATTCAGATCAAAAAGACTATACATACAGATTAATTTACTTTTGCTTTATATATTATTTCAGTCCTGGGTTTATATATAATTTATTCTAAAATCTTACCATTTAAAATGTGAAAATCTTGATCAGTACTGCATTCTGTGCTGTGTAACGAATCAGCTCATGAGGAAATATGAATAATTAACCAT